CTGTGCCTAGGCACTCCTGATATTAGTGCACTTCCTGTGCCTAGGCACTCCTGATATTAGTGCACTTCCTGTGCCTAGGCACTCCTGATATCAGTGCACTTCCTGTGCCTAGACACTCCTGATATTAGTGCACTTCTTGTGCCTAGACACTCCTGATATCAGTGCACTTCCTGTGCCTAGACACTCCTGATATCAGTGCACTTCCTGTGCCTAGGCACTCCTGATATTAGTGCACTTCCTGTGCCTAGGCACTCCTGATATCAGTGCACTTCCTGTGCCTAGACACTCCTGATATTAGTGTACTGACTGGTGGTCAGTAGAAGGACTCCCTTACATTGGTGGTCACTGATGTGCCTATTCATCTTTATAGTGAGTGCAGTGTCTGTCAGAATGGTGGTCCATGGAGAAGAGTCCCCTTACATTGGTGGTGAGTAGAAAAGTGCCTCATACATTGATGGTCAAGTGATGACCCTATTTATCTTGGTGGTAAGTGATGTGTCCCTTAGATTGGTGATCAATGGAGAAGAGTCCCTTCAGACTGGTGGTCAGTGGGAGAAGGACTCCCTTACATTGGTGATCAGTGATGTGCTTATTTATCTTGATGGCGCGTGATGTGTCTGTTATATTGGTGGTCAATGGAGAAGAGTCCCCTTACACTGGTGGACAGTAGAAGAAGGTCTCCCTTACATTGGTGGTCACTGATGTGTCTGTTAGATTGGTGGTAAATGAAGAAGTGCACCTTACATTGTTGATCAGTAGAAAAGTGCCTCATACATTGGTGGTCAGTAGAAAAGTGCCCCCTTACATTAAAGGTCAAGTGACTACCTTTTTTATCTTGGTGAGTGATGTGTCCGTTGATTGATGGAGATCAATGTAGACAAATCCCGTTACATTGGTGGTCAGTGGGAGAAGGATTCCCTCATATTGGTAGTCAATGGTGTGACTATTTATCTTGATGGTAAATGATGTGTCCATTATATTAGTGGTCAATGGAGAAGAGTCCCCTTACACTGGTGGTCAATGGAGAAGAGTCCCCTTACATGGGTGGTCAATGGAGAAGAGTCCCCTTACACTGGTGGTCAATGGAGAAGAGTCCCATTACATGGGTGGTCAATGGAGAAGAGTCCCATTACATGGGTGGTCAATGGAGAAGAGTCCCCTTACACTGGTGGTCAATGGAGAAGAGTCCCTTTACATTGGTGGTCAATGGAGAAGAGTCCCTTTACATTGGTGGTCAATGGAGAAGAGTCCCCTTACACTGGTGGTCAGCGGAAAAGTGCCCTATTATATTGATGGTCGACTGATGACCCTATTTATCTTGGTGGTGGGTGCTGTGTCCGTTAGAATGGTGGTCAATAGAGAAGAATCCCTTTAGACTGGTGGTCAGTGGGCAAAGGACTCCCCTACATTGACGGTCATTTGGAAGAATGTTCTTTACATTAATGATCAGAGGGAACAATGTCCCCTTACAGATAGCTGGAAAGACCATTGGTGTCAATAGAAGCTTATCTGAGAGTCAAAAAAAGAGTCCTTTGATCAAAGAACCCCCCAGCAACCTCTGAAGGAACCCTGGTTTTCCATGGAACCCAGGCTGAGGAAGGCTGCACTGATGGATTGTATTTGTTACTAAGAAAGGCCACTACAAAGGACAAGACTCATGTGAATGTGCAACTAAGCGCTGAGTAAATTGTCGGTGCAAAACGCACTTGTGGGCTTACCACTCATTTGTGGCATATGAATTCTTTATAGCTTGGGGAACCGGGGGGCGCGGCAGGGTTGTGTCCATTACCCGCACATTTAGTACTGAATTATGTTCCTTCTCAGGTCGGGAGAAGTGCGATGGGTTTATGTCCAGGCGTGAACTGAGCGTTATATTACACATCAGAAATAATGGATGATAATTGATCCGGTTCTGGACTGGGGACTCTGGGGAAATGTTCTGACAATAGGAGGAAATCTTACAACGGCGGTGCTCAGCATCTCAATATGTTCATTATCACCTATTTATTATATTTAAGGAGCAGCCGCTGCAACAAGTACATTCAAACAAAAGCCAGACCAGACATGGGAGTCAACTCACATTAGACTTGTGCGCCGTCAAAAAATTTGTTCCGTTTCGTAATATCCATTATTTCGTAATTTCCATTATTTCGTATTTCGTAATTGGTATCCGAAACTCAATTCGGATTTGTACGAAATACGAATTTTCGTTAGTTTCGGCACATTTTCGTAACTTTACGAACATTCGTTATGATGAAGTTAAAAAGCAAAAATACCTTTGTTATTATTGGAGTCGATGTGGTAGTTGTTTTTGTATCCGAAATACGAATTCTGTTAACGGATTCCGTATCCGAATTTCGTATTTAGGACTTTAAAAAAAACTACCATCA